GGATTCTACATAGCCTTTACTGAAACACTAGATACTAAATCTTTTCACACAGGTGTATTCAAAACATAGTGGTTAGATCAAGCACCTCATAAATCTTAACCGCAACGAACTACTCACACAAACATAACTACTAGAACATACGGCCAGCAAAGTTGCTAAACAGGATTATACAGTCAATGCGGAGGACATTGGGTAAATAGATTATTTGCGTAAAAGAGGTAAAAGCTTCCTCTTGATCGAGAAATAACATCATCGTCTCCCTGGATCGATCCAGGCAATCAATTCACCAATGAGCGTCTAAAGCAGGAAAACTGAAGATTTCAGCCACCAAAGTTTGGAGTCAAATAAAAAAATACATTTACCTTCCCCGTAAAAGCCACGTAACTTAGGTGAAACATTAAAAGCCGAAGTTGCAGTTCAAATAGATAGCAGTCGTTTTGTATGTAGGCGGGATCAGTGGCTTATGCAACTGAAGGTATCAGAAAACAAATTTTCCTTTGAGGGTGAGACAAAAACTTATTGTTATATACAATGTACATATGAAGGAGTTTTCCTAAACAAACACACATATTTAAAAGACCGTAGACTTGATAAAATTTTGAGTTTATGAATTAACGTAACATTTGTAGTGATAAATAAATCCCCAAAACCAATGGCTCTGTAAGTCTTCAACATTTGACGCTGACCACACTATTCTTAATGGACTCACCTGGCCGAGGGCGCTCGGTCATGCTTCCGCACCAGATTACGATTGGGAACTCCGTGCTCAACATTTCCTACAACCACTAACCGGCTCAGATTAGTTGCTTTCTGATATATTGATAGCCTGTCAAATATATCTTCGAACCTCTACTTCTGACTCCTGATTTAAGTGGATCGGCATGTTTCGATAATAACAGGTGTTACTGGTTAAGAATGTCACGCTCCGAAGACTTGTGGCAACTTGACATTTTTATACTTTGATCTATTTTGCCTCTCCGTCAACATATTTCGCCACAGGGCCTTCTCGAGTTGGATGTGGGTGGTGTGACCCCCCAGCCTATGTCGAAGTAACACATTGTGATTCATACCTGACATGGAGTAACCAGGTACTACAGCTACTTTGATAACTGAGTAGAAAAACGATCTGACCAAAAAAAAGTTAAGGCTAGAAAAGTATATATTACAGCCACCGCTGCATGTAACAGTTCATGGATAGGAATCAAAGACATTTCATTGGCCCTATGACCCATTTCAAGTCTGTTCGATAAAGTTTTGACGTCTGATGACTGAATTTAGTCCAAAAAGGGCAGTGATTTTCGTACTTGTTGCACCAAAAAGCATTCTTGGTATACTTTAACTAAAAGTACTTTGGTTAAGGTTTGAAACTTTTGCTAAACTTTGTCCTTTGGTACTTTTTTTACTCATTGACTGACACTCGTGTTCACATTGTGATCATATTGTGTTTTAAACCTTTTTAATCAAATTACAACGGTTATTAAGACTCATAAATGTGGACAACCAAACTGCTTGTTCCCCGTTGAGGAAGGAATGCAGTGCGGTGAGTGTAAAACTGGTACCATAAGATATATACACGTCTAAGTCCTACGGCATACAAAAGATGCTCGAAGCCTAACTCGCGTTGGCTTTGTATGTTTTGCTGTACAAACAAAAAGTCACTAATTCAGAAGGCTATGAGCCTATTGGCTTTGGCCTGTAAGAAAAACGATGGCGGTTAAGCTGATAACACGAGCACTGACGGTAAAGTATGTGTCAGTGTAGTACAAGCCGCCTCTTGAAGGTTACATTTACCACGGTTGAAGAAAGGAACCTAATTTTAAGTAATTCATGTAAACTGATTGGATCCGGAATATATGTCTGTGAGGATCTCAGGCTAGCTGATCGTATTAAGAGACGAGCTGCAGAAGCGGAAATAAATGAACGTCGCCAAAACGGGGAACGAAACCTTATTCTTAAAGGTTTTCAAGTTGTAAAAATTCGGAGCAAAACGATCCCCAAGCCACTCTGGGTGGCAAGGGAAAGCTCTCCACAGACTTAAAGGTATGCTACACAAATGCTCTCAGCCTTCTAAATAAAATGGCCGAGCTCAAGTCGGTGGTTGATAAAGAAAAACCGGACGTTATTGCTGTCTCGGAAACTTGGTTAACGTCAGAAGTATTAGATAGTGAAATCCAGTTTACTGGTTTCATAACCAGTAGGGCTGACAGATTAAACCAAAGGGGAGGGGGGTTATTCTGTACACGAAAGGTACCCTGACCATAAGATTAACTGAGACAGTAGCACATGTTTCAGGGACAGGTGAACTGGTGAGATGTAAGCTGAAATGTAGACGGCAAGATACTGAATTAGTTGCAGTATATCGCAGTCCAGAATGTGTAGCAGATGATTTTATCCTAAGTAAACTTAAGTTCTGGTGTAACAAGGGTAAAAGCCTAGCACCGCATATAAATTGGGTTAACTGAGAAGTAGGGTCATCGGTAACGTCATTTGAATGCAAGCTGTTAGAAACATCGATTAGATTAGCTTTATTTCAACACACTAGAAACCCAACAAGATATGACTTAAGAAACTCTTCTTCTCTTTTAGATTTAGTCTTCGCACACGGTGATGACGTTGGTCAAATGGCTTTTCTCCCACCACTTGGGAGAAGTGACCATGCAGTCATCTTAATCAAATTCATGGATGAGATTGCTTGTCAAACAGTTGCGCTGGCCCGTCCTAACATATGGAAGGCAGATATGCAGGCAATTAACTCCGCAGCATCGGCTGAAAACTGAGAAATCGACTCAAATGCATCAGTACAAGAGGCATGGACTCTATTCAGGCAGTTATACAATCGGGTAACTCAACCGTACATACCTTGGACTGTCCCAAAGAAAAAGAAGCACGGACATCCCTGGATAGGGCGGGATATTCGACGTTTACTAAGACAAAAGGAGAAATGCAGGGACCTTGCCATCCGCCTTGGCACAGCAGGTACGATGGAACGCTACAGATCGATAAGAAACGAGTGTATAACGAAAATTCGGGAAGCTCAGAGAAAATATGAAATGCAGCTGGCACAATCTGCACTCAAGCAGCCCAAGAGGATATTGTCGTACATAAACTACAGAACAAGGATTCATCATTGGATTCCCAACTTAATTAAGGTAGGGAGTGAATCCAAAATGATAGAGGAAGATCAGGAAAAAGCAGAGGCTATGGCTGACTATTTTGGGGCAGTTTTCACTCAGGAACCCCCTCTAGAGAGAGAACCAGACCCAAATACAGAGTCACCAAACCACCTGCTCACCGTGGACTTTGACCAAAACGATGTGCTTAAGGCTCTTAGCACCCTCAACATGGAGAAGTCAACGGGACCAGATGAACTACACCCCAAAATCTTGAGACATATTGCCCAATATATCGCGACCCCACTGACTGTGATATTCAATATGTCACTTGACCAAGGTGTGTTACCTATGGACTGGGAGGACGCAATCGTCACTCCCATACATAAAACTGGTCTACGACAAGTTCCATCAAATTACAGACCCGTAAGCCTCACCAGTGTTGTAATTAAAATACTGGAAAGGATAATCAAACGGACCATAACAGCATTTATGGAAACCAATAACTTGCTTAACATGGCACAACATGGTTTTAGAAAGGGTCTATCCTGTACAACGAACCTCCTTATAGCTAGGGAGTTCTGGATTAATGCGCTAGACAACGGAAACTCAGTGGATGTTGTCTACATGGATTTCAGTAAGGCTTTTGACAAGGTGCCGACTAATAGACTGCTATTGAAGTTGGAAAACCTTGGCATTGCCGGACCTCTTTTAAAATGGATTAAAGATTTCCTAGTAGGTCTTAGACAAAAAGTAAGAATAAATTCCAAGTGCTCCATCTGGAGACCAGTACTTAGTGGAGTACCCCAAGGTTCCGTCCTAGGTCCTTTACTTTTTATAATGTACGTTAATGATCTTACAAGTATAGTACAGTCTCCAATGTTATTATACGCTGACGATGTACAAATTTGGCGAGTAATAACTGGAGACACAGACGCATTTACTCTTCAGGCGGACTTAAATAATATGATAAACTGGTCTAAAGAGTGGCTAATGCCTATCAACTCGGAAAAGTGTGTCTACATGCACTTTGGGGATTCAAAGGTTAGTACGTACAACATAGGGGAAGTGCCATTGCCGGTAGTCCGGTCTCATAAGGATATAGAGATGACAGTGAGTCGTGATCTTAAGACGACGGCTCATTGCTGGGAGGTCGCAGCTTGGGGGTTTCGAACTCTCTGGGCTTTAAAACGGACATTCACTAAGTTAGATACTAAAATGTTCACCACAGTATACACATCCGTAGTGAGAAGTAAGCTTGAGAACTGCATTCAGGCTGCATGCCCATGTTTAAAAGGTGACGCGGATATCCTAGAAAAAGTACAGAGGGTAGCTACCCGTGCAATTTCAGAACTCCGGGGTTTACCATACAAAGAGCGGCTTGAAAAGCTGGACCTCTTTACTCTGTCCTATCGCAGGTTAAGGGGAGATCTGATTTCGATGTACAGAATACTGAGAAATTATTTTGGACCTAACGTTTTCTCTCTTTTTCTTTCCACTAGATCGAGACATCTCAGAGGACATAGCAGGCGAGTAGAAAAGCCAAGAACGAACAAAATACCCGTGGCACACAGGATTTCATACCGAGTTATCAATGCTTGGAACCTGCTGCTCGAAACAGTGGTGTCCGCACCTTTAATTGAATCTCTCAAGAGGAGACTGGACACTCACAGAAGCATACTAGAAAAGGAATAACATAGGCCGTAGGCCTTCTCTCCTTACTACACAAATCTGAAAGACCACCTAATATAAGTAAGATAGACCCTGTCATACAGAATGAACCTGATATCTCAAAGCTACAGCTATACTCCAATTTCATGATTTAAAGTAAAACACAAAAGCTGTCTTGCTGTAGTTTTATTGAACATCATGGCCTGCTCTATTTGTTTAGCTGCATCAGTGACATTTACTAGAATTCTGGAAGCGTCAGCGAAATGTCTGATAATGATGTTCATGGTTCTGATGCCCAGCAACGGGTCGAAGATGAATATCTAAAGGATTTTATGGATTTAAGCCCATGTGGTGATCGTGGTATCCTCAAAAAAGTATTGCGAGAAGGCTATTCTGACGTCAAGCCATGTGATGGCGACACTGTGGTTGTACATTATGTCGGGACAAACTATGGTGGGGAAAAACACGGTGAAGTCTTTGACTCAAGTAGGGCACGGAATGAGAAGTTTGAATTTACTATTGGAAATGGTAAGTGTATACCCATCCTGATTACTCTTTCAGGTAGTGTAATTAAGGCTTGGGATGTCGGTGTCGCTACAATGAAGTTGGGAGAAATTTGTGAACTAATCGCGTCTCCTGATTATGCCTACAAAGATGGTAAAACTCTAAAGTTCGAAGTGGAGCTTTTCGAAACCTTGGGTAATGTTTAATATATCACATAATGAACAGATCAGGCGCTGATGTCAGCAGAAACAAGGATGGGAGTATTCGTAAATCAACTATTAGGAAAGGGAAGGACATCTATAATCCTGTTGCTGGTGCTGAGGCCACAATTGTCTTCCGTAATTTGACGGATTCAGCAGAGAATGTGGAGGTGACATATTGCGTCGGTGATCCCCCGTTAACTGTGCCAGAAGAGTTGGATCTGTGTGTTCGTCATATGAATACAGATGAATTTAGTCGTGTTGTCGTATACAAAGATAAGAATTCAGCAACTGAGGGTGCAGACGGACATCGGGTAGTTTATGAATTAACGCTGAAGTCTTTTGAAAAGGTAATCAAAGACCCATTTCTCGTTATTATTAGACTAAACATCTATCTGGTATCTCATCATTCTCAGAGCAGATGGCGTATGCAAATGTACTGAAAGAAAAAGCCAACAACTTTCTAAAGGTTTGTCGCCGTTTAGTCATTATGTCAGGACTCTAAATTTGATTCTGCTATTGAATTGTACAAACGTTTAGATGACGAGTTGCAGTACATAGTGGCTAATGGCCCTACAGAGCAGAAGGAATTATCCGCGGTTATTGTAGCCGTCCGACTTAATTTAGCTTTAAGTTACCTGAAGCAATGTAAACCAGATAAATGTATTGAGTTCTGCAAGAAAGTATTGGACGTTTTTGGTAACAACGAAAAAGCGTTATTCAGGATAGGTCAGGTAAATTAAATACACAAAATTATATTTCCAGGCGCATCTGCTGCGTAAAGACCACGAGGAGGCGTCAGTTTACTTCAAGAAAATTGTAGAAAGCAATCCCAACAATGCGTCTGCTGTAAAGCAGTTGCATATGTGCGAGGAAGAGATTAGAAAGGCCCAAGATATGGCAAAGAAAAGGTTCCGGAGCATTTTCGAGCGCTGTAAAGACGTAAGTCGAAATTGATTGTAATTGCTCTTGTAGTCTGGATTGGATGGTGTTGAAGAACACAAAGACGGAGTCACGTTGAATGGCGAAAAGTCTGCATTGTAAAAGTTTGCTCCTTAATGTAATCTAAATGAGCAATCCGTGATTTTGTAAATGTTCCCCATAATTGTTACCAGTTTCAAAGTTGTGAATAAATCATTGAACCTAGATTTGTATTCTCTCATGATTAATAGCAGCACGTAGTTACCTTAGAGCTCATACCCTATAGAAATTCTAATTGTTGCTAGTCTGCTTAGCATTGTTGACTTCATGGTCAGATAATTACCCAGTAATCGGTTGTTTATGTATTGGCTCGCTTTTTGTTTTGAATGCCTCTGGCTGTGCTTCTAGCTATCTTAATGTACGGTGAACGGATGTAACCGCAAATAATAACGCCCAACTCCAGCTAGGAATACAACATACTGTGTCGGGGGGGGGTAGACTATCTTAGCTCCAGGTAGCAACTATGGCAGTGTAAATCACTTTTTAGCGGCGTAAAGTACCCTCCCTCCAGTACTGACTGAGTCATTGATATACTCCAGTGCCGTCCCTGTTATCCCCTGGTCAACAGGCGAGAGGGATTGTTGGGGCCGTCATAAGCTTATCCGTATGACATTTGTTGCATGGATCACTTGGTGCTGCGTGGTGGCGTAATGAATCCAACCAAAACTGCGTATCGAAAAGTGGGAGTGGATGTCTGAAGTATGAACAACTTCGACCGGTTTCGGGGGAGGAAGTTGGTGCGTTCATCTGGGTCATTGAGGTAGGCTTCCTATCATATTTTAGTGGGTCTTTATCTGATCCCAGTTAAGTCGTACGCTGATTGCTGTCAAAACATGTATGCTACCAGCTTTCGTGTATTGTTATTGACTTAATTCGCGTTGGTGATCAACGGAATGAAGTAATCCAAGTTTGAGGATGTATTTTGGATTTGCATACTTTGTACACATTGATGCAAACAGACATCGGAAAGAAAGGGAGCGAATGGAAGGGGTACACAACAGAGGCGAGCGAGCCAACTGGTCTCGGCCGAGTGTGACTCTATTTATATTCAGACAAATAAGTTACAGACGCGTAATGAATATGTCGAGAGGTCACATGGAGACATTCAGGGTCAACGAGCAGACAATCAACAAGGTCAAAGTGTAGCTTCGAAAATGGTGGAGATCTGTAGCTTGGGTGGGTGATCTTGATGGAGTTTTGTTCTCAGAGGGGTGGATAGGTTGGTCTGTCCACAAGGTAGGGCAACCCGTAGGGGCTGGACGTAGTACCAGCCACTACAATGACATGTGGGCAGCCGCTCTACTACCGTGTCGTCCATCCAAGTAGGCATTTAGTACCTACCAGATTGGCTCGTATAAACCGTTGATTAACTCGCGGGTCTATTTGATGTATTGGTTACGGAGGGATGGTCCCTGTCTTCCTCCAAAACATTTCGACCACCATTTCGTAAGGTAAGCGGCATACTCGCTTTATAGTTGGGACCGGTGAGATGATTTTGATAATAATCTGCAAACCACCAAGTGTAATGAAACCTCAAGACAGGTGGAACAGTCAACGTGCCCGACTTCATTCACTATGGCCAGAATAGGCACATGCTGACCATTTCCGAAGTGGCATTTCGTATTTAGGAAAAGTGATCCCTACCATCCTCAGTCTGTTGCTCAAAGCGTAAAGAATACTACACTTTAGCGCTACAAATACCTGGATGGGGTCGCTAAGTTCATGTTTGTTGCTCATGGGTAATGTTTATTAGTGGAGGTTGGTTAGGACTCAGAAACTGGGGTTTATATATTTTAGGTTTCAGAGTATTAGGTTGTAATTATTTCTGGACACGTATTTGATAATTGTTAATTTTGCATGATTTTTATCTTATGTTTTGTGCTTTATCCTATCAGACATCTAAGCACGAAATCGTTTCACGCTCTTTTAGTGTCGTTTGTTCAAGTAACTAACAATAAATATATCAAAGAAGTAAATCTAATCTCATGAATAATTGTTATTTCCCCATAGTGTTTTGTTTCATACGGTCTTAGTTTAACAATCAAAGCACTGGTTATAATTAATACTTCGTGCGATAACTTATAGATTGGCACATTTTCAAAGCTCTTATTCATTGTGTATAATTTAGGTAATATTAACTAGCTATGTGCATTTCGCAGCGATTGGAAACCCATGAGTTTTCATTGTGTTCATTACTTATCTAATTAAAACATCCCTTAGATATTTTTTTTCATTAATGCCTATCGAAGGATCACAAGGCAAAGTAGGCTAGAAAGTCAAATTAACCCTTTTTAGGGAACTCTAGATAGGGATAGGGTAGGCCTAATTTTTGCCTCCAAATGGTATGTCTAAGGGTGGGGTGGGGTCTGCCCTTAAGAAAACCACCTACTTCGGTTTGGGCACCCTGTAGTATCCCGACTTACACAAATTTAATTAATTAACTAATTTGCTTGGCACATAACTGTTTTGGTGCTTTTCTGTACCAATATATATTTAAATAAATAACAGGCCCAATTTTAACTTGAAAATCCATGCCAAATGTAGATAAGATATTTGCATATGTTAAGAGTCTAGATTTTTTAAACTGAAGTTGCTTCAAATCTTATACGATAATAATAAGCTTCCTCTGAAGTGAGAAAAGTATCAACTTACAAACCGTTGGTCACTTATACCATTAAAGCCCCAGTCACATGTATTGATAACATGCAGTTAAATGTTGAAAAAGAGTTAGGAAATATTGACTCTAAAAATACTAAACCTTGCCTTATGTCATGGATTTCTGTCACCGTTAGTAAGGCCTTTGAAGTACGGAGATAACATCAAGAACTACTCGCAAAAGTACCATATGTGACTTGTTTCAGACAGTTTCCTCTTGGTTCCTCTTTAACGTCTTTTGAAAAGGAGCATAGTTATACGATGTGAGCAACTAGTAAGTACCAATCACTTGCACACTTGATGGGATCACTTTGTTCACGAGTATATCTTTTCTCCACCTCCTGATACTTTTTCTATCTCTACTATTAACCGTGCACTATACTATTTTTTACGGAAATGATGCCCCAATCCTCCTACCAAGAGAATATTGGTTCCTGACCGCTGTGTCCTATACAATGCCTATGATTCCGGAACGCTCATGGAGTTGTAGCTATACCATTTCCTTAGCGTACTTACGTTACTTTTGCGCTACTTAATAAAGACGACTCTGATGATTATTGTATTGTGTGCTCCGATAGCAGCGCTGTACTGTAAGGTGCTATCATCTGTGATTAATTATTCCTCCTGCTTTACATTAATAAAATCTTCGCGATAGATGTTCAATTAAGGCTTTTGATGAATCAAATCTCAAATAATGTGCCGTTATTTTGTTTTAAATTACTTCACCCCTTATTTTAACATTCTGATCATGACTGTAAGTTAATGTGCATTCAGTAATTATTTTTAAGATGTTTATCATATGAATATTATTATCATTACTTAATTGTCGAATAACTGTCGGTATATGTCAGAATAATTTTATCTTAATTTGATTCTTTTGTTTACTAACTATACACTTATTTGTATTAAGTAGTTATTTCATAAACAGCGAACCTATTCCCAATACATTATGAACTTTGGCATTCGGCAGAAAATTTCTCGAACATTTCTCCCATTATCGTACTTGTTTACAAATGCACAGCTAGGAAAGTGAATTCATCTAAATAATTTTCAGTGCATTATATATATAATTTTCTGAATGACGAACAATGAAGTTTATTAGATGATAGAAAGGCAAGAGATGCAAGCAAATGTCATCAGAAATTGTTTTGAAATGCTTTTGGGGTTTTTGTGTTTACTCTACTGGATGGTTTGACTGCGCGACTTTCGTTTCTGTCTCAATCTTCGACAGAGCCTACTTCAAAAATAAGAATATACCGCGCCATTGAGCGATCAATTAAAATTCAGCTAGCCGATATGGGAATATAAAACGCTGTTGCGGATAGCTTGTTACTAAAACTCATGGTTTTCATTATATTTCGTAATTCGCAGCGACTAGATGGTGGTTTTGTTATGACTTTATGTCTGGCTTCTTATCACGTGATTTATCCACCAATCAAAATACGACCTATACAATCTTATCACCGTACCAAACCAATGACGTTCGAACGGTATGAGCAGCCTAGCGTCCTTATTGGTCCTATATCCGCATAGCCTGTCCACTTGAGTCCAGAACACCAATACCAGCTCCCACTATGCGAATCGAATCATTTATTTCAGACATACTGGGTTTAAATATCAATCAAACAGACCGCAACTCACCATAAAGTATTTAACACCAAACTGTTCATAGATGTTGTTAAGGCTTCCAACCCGCGGTAAATTTATCATTTTTCTATAATGTAGAGCTCTTATAAAAAAAGTTCATCCTGATTGGTTAACCTCAGGGTCATCCCTAAAGTTGCTTAAGGTCGTCGGTATAGTATGATTTTACTCTCTCAAATAGAAACAGTGGTTTAGTTGTCATACTAATGGTAAATCAATTCCTTATGATGACCCGGGTTATGACTGGTTGATATCAGGTTCTGCTTCCTTCACATGTATTTGTCGTTCTGCTCATTGTCCTGTTCAATCGGACATTATGTAACTTTTACCACATGCATTATGGTGCCCGTGTGATTTATCTCAACTTTGGGATGGAAAAAATAATCTAATCTTTCCGGTTATTCTGTACACTCATATTTGTCCTTGACAAATATTTTCACGTTATACTTGAACATCTTTTTTTTTCATATGCTTATGTGTGTACGTATGCTTATTTTTATTTATAGTCCGCTTGGTTGACACAGTTTTTTTATGTATACAATGTATCCTCCTGAATAATAATGAGTAGGCTACTACCCCAACTTCGTGCTACATCTACCTGTCATTCTCTTACATAATTATCTGCTTATAATTGAATACATGAAATGAACGTATCTTTATTACATTTCTTATTTCAACTTTTTGATTTAACGTTGTATTAACATGTGCTAATGGTTCATTACTATATATATATAGAAATTTCACTGGTTGAAATCATGAGTCAATTAAAGCTAGACCACCATGAAAAACCTGGAAGCACTGGACGACCGCTTCGTCCTAGTATGGGACTCCTCAGCAGTGCGCATCCACGACTTCGCCCCCCCGCGA